CCATTTTAGTGCTGACAGAAAGCCTTGATTGTCTTCATCGTCCATTTGATATGATCATTTCGCCAAGTGCCGATCTAAGGCTTCTAAGAGTTCCTAGCTTTAACTAAACTATGAGGATTGAGAAAAATTCAAGTATGTTCATGTCTTTAACGCAACATTCGAAAACGCCCCAGGAGGTGTATCTTAAGTATAGTTGTTTGGGTAAACAATCGTTAGGATATGCACAATTAGTATATGCTAACATATGCACCAATAGACAGGTTGAACATGTATGTACATAGGAAATTGCACAAGCATCTGAGAGCCCTTGAACGGATATTGTGTACAATAGACAAGACATTATCTAAACCGACTGAAAGCAAAACTGCGTTTGATCAATAGCTTAGGTAATTGTTTACAAAAGTCGCTAAATTGAAATAAAGGAAGCAAAAATACATGAATAAATGTCAAATGTCACGTTGCATGAAATAAATAAAAAACCAAAACAAAGCAAAAGTACAATTGAGTCCGTAGGCACTAGTGTAGTCTACCATTGAAGAGTTACTAAGTTCCCAGGACTAAACAAATGATTAACCTAAATTTTGATGCATGCTACCAGTAGTATACAAATGAAAAAATTAAAGTTTCGTATTCAGAAAGGACTCCAGCTTGAGCCTCACTAGAACTCAAATCAGTAGGTTACAGGGCGGTATTATCTTAAATATTAGCGAACTCCTTGTAGGTACAGACAAATTAGGAATTACAGTCAAGCTTGATAGATAATTCAGAGGTAGTTAAGAGAAATCGAAAAGCGATTAGTCTTCCCGACCAATTCACAAAACCAGCAAATAAGCATGTAGGTGAACATATATGACAGTCAAAAATTCAACTTATCGAATCCCTTTTATATCCGATATCTGAACGATCTTATTTGACTATCTATCCTCCATTATGTATAGGCAGAAATGAGTATAGAAAACTCATTTTTGGACCATGTATACTTTTCGTTCTAAGGTACCGATAGCTGAGTTACACTGACTTTCAAGGCGAAGCAAGCCTCGTTAAACTCAAATCCACGTTGGGGTAATACGCATCATTAGGCAAACATGTTTTCCCTAACACTTGATACTATTGAATTGGTCGCTACCATATTGTATAATCTACTAATGAATTGACTTAGAAATTGAGGACGTAGGTGGCAAGACAAATGAAAGTATTCTCTTCAGACAATGGAAGGAAGAGGCTGCCAGTCATGGTAATACCTTAAGAGTTGTGTTCACCCTATTTCCTTTAAGATGATGAAGGACTGGTAGTTGACTTTTCACACAACAATATGAGTAGAACTGACGTTTCCATTGAATTACATAATGCCTTGCTTTCCCAAACTGTCTTCTCATCCAGGATGGACTACAGCTTCGACCTCGCACAGGTCTTATCATCATTCCAAGCGGGAGTCGAACCATGACAGTTAACAGCGTGTTACCATCTGCGCTACATTTCCATGAGTGCTCTGAATTACAGGGTAGATTTGAGTTTCATATAATGTCAGGCATTTTTCATATCACATTCTGTGTTGGGATTGTAGATAAAGTAAACTTATGTTTGCTATAGAAATCGACGACATTACTTTTTCCTTTTTTTACTGGTAGTCTTGAAAACCTACTCACTCACGAATAAATGGTAATACCTTGTTTATCCTATTTGGATGTACACAGGAGTTTATTTCAAGAAGATAAATGTGTCGGGTGAGTAATATAAGAGGTGGGATGTAAAGCATAATACTAAAAATTTTAAATAATAATAATAGTATTGATACTAAGGCTTACCTGGCCGTATGAGGTCGAAACGAAGTGAGATTCTTGAAGACAGTGCTGGCGGTGAATCGGGAGTCGGGAAACTCCTCGATTCGGTCGAATAGCGGGCTGGTGCATGTGTCCTTCTCACCAGGTCCGACGCGAATCGCTGTAGGGAAAAAATAAAATTTACAATGAAAGCCTGTGGATGGACGAAAATCGCGCAAATATTTAAAGAGGATAGAGAACACAGAAGTCAAAGGATACAGCCGATTTATGTTACATTTCAGAATGCCATTCGTTAATGGGTGAGACCTCAAGAGACATCGAGACGGTTAGCAATATCGAGACTGTCTCATCCTTTATGCTTCCACTACACTCAACGTCGATTTTCAATTGCCAAATCACTTCCAAAATAGCAGTGGAGTAGAGATGGTTTTATTTCTCATTGCTTCCACAGGCTTACTTCCACCCAAGTTTTCAGTGAGAGTGTAAACAACCACTCACTCTGACAATCATCGTCAAGGATTTCAAAGTCCCCAGAAACTTTCTTACATTGCCATAAAGTCAGCAGGACTACAAAGAGACTTGAGCGACGAAGCAGTCGCTGATAATGCCGACGATGTGGCCCTAACCCAAGAAAACCCCTGAGGCGATATGCTTGAATCTAAGCCTGGATCATGAAATTAAATTCTGCTGACAACCGAGTGCAAAAATCGGGAAGAGAGAGGCTGAATGGTTGAAAAGAAGATGAGCAGGTGGCTGCAGGACCGGGAATCAGAGAAGCTGGAAAAAAACCGTCGCAAGTATGAGAATATTCTAGGCTATGATAGAAGAAGATTGTCTGTTCCTGGCATGATCCAGCAAAACATGCGCCTAGGGCAGAAATGCGGAAAGTGAATGTCGAAAGAGATGGTGGAATCGAGGAAATGTAGGCAGATCAACCAAACTAAGTAGATGGACGCCCTAGCCGAGCAATTGGCTGAAATGAATCAAGTAAGACGTAGCAAGGTGAACAATCCTTGTCACTTAAGACGACAAAATAATGAATGGGCGTGCAAGGTATGCCGTAATGAGGAGAAGCTGACACTGCAAATGCCTGACATGAAGCAATTCTTTATTGCAACCGGCACTTCGTCCGGAGCAGTGGCTGGCTTAATTACGAGGCAGAAAGAAATAGGAGAGAACTTTAAAATGACCACCAGAGGGAGAATGTAGAAAGCATAAAGTGAAAGGTTAAGGCATTGATGAACATGCACAGAGAAATGCTATCTAACCTTTTCGTAGATACGTAAAGAGGCATCTGTAGGGGTATCAATTGCCGCATTCTTCTAGAACTGCGAATCCGTCGTTCAGTTAATCAGTCCATCATTATCAAACTATTCCTACGTCCGTCCACTGAAAAAATGCATTTGCCAGCTATAAACCGGAATGCCAGACCAGCGTCAGCTGTTTGTATGGCGCAAAAAACATCGAAAAGAACCAGGGCGTAAATGCGTAAGAAATCTCTGAAAGACGCAAATTAGGAATCAAACGTGGAGTAGCAGTTGGTGTAGATAGCCAAAGACAGCCCATTTTAAAGTTAAGCCAGCTGGAGGATGTTGTAATCGTCAAGGCGAAAAATACAAGACAGGGATGAGGCCAGTAGGGTAGTGAGCAAGCAGAAAGTTAAGTGCATGAAGTGACAAGAACACGTTATGGAGAATGAAAGATAGAGAAAAGCCCACCAGCAATTCAGCAAATTAAATAGATTACTTAAGTAATGATAGTAGTATGTTCACACAACAAAGCTTTCGTATGAATA